GCTCCAGCTTTCTTGCACAGGGACCATTGCGGAAGATTGAAAGCATATAGATGTAAGGCAAGAATCCTGGAGGGGTGGAGTGTGGGGAAGTTGGGGTTCCTCTGGCCAGGATCCTCACTGAACTTAAACTACCTGATGATGTAACTGGCCTGTTGCTAGGCTACCGCTTCCACACCTTAAGGCAATAAGCCATTATTGTGCTATATAGAGAGCTCAGCCCAGGGTTCTGGGCGGAGGCAGAGACGCTAGTGCTCGACCTACCACCGGAGAACAAGCCGGGTAATAAACCCTTTCACCCCAAAGAACGTTTTGCTGTCGATTTCTTTGGTCACATTGAATCCATAGCAAACTTGCCCAGGGCTGAAACCCATAGGCAAGACAGGTCCCCCTGTCCACATCTGTAAGTGGGGCTCGACAATACCTTCTCCTCAGGCTAGCATAAAAAGTCAATGAAACTATAGAGGAAAGTTTGGGTATACAGTGCCCACATGATTCATGTCAGCATCATTGTTATTATCAGTGGCGGTTTGAACATCCCTGCCTTGTGTCACCTCCTTTGTGATAATCCCCGCTCCTGGAGCCCCTGGGCTCTCTGTAACTTCCCGACTGGGCCAGCAATCTATGCAGTCCTAGGGGTTCTGCAGTGAAAGGGGCAGAGAAGTCCCTGCCCTAGTGACACGAAGACTCTGGTAGAGAGAGGATGTGCTAAGGAAATAAATGTGTGTGCTGGAGTTCAAAAGGAACGTAACTGTGTCTGGGTTAGGGCAGGGCACCACAGGCCTTCCTGAGACAGGGTCCATTTAATCTGACATGGGAGTACAAGTCAGTCAGGCCCCATGGAGCATGGAATAATATTCCAGAGAGAACTGCATATCACAGAGGCCTCACGTACAGCACAGGGACAGGCCTACATGGCCCACTGTGCCCTTAGAAGGTGGCAGCTGTGCCCACTTCATGCTGAGCCTGGCACAGGCGTCTTGTCAAGGCTCCCAAACCGGGGGCCAGTGCTCAGGTCTGTGACACACTTGGGCTGCCCCCAGTCATGCCTGTTCCACTCCTGGGGCAGAGTCGGGGGATCCAGCTCACTGCCCCAGCCTGCTCCCTGCCAGGGCGTCTGCCTCAGCCTGCCTCTCCAGACAGCATCTCCACAGGCGGACCTGTGGGACCCTGGCCTTCCCAAGGCGTGGGCACAGGTGACTGCATGGTGCTGTCCTCTGGAGCGAGAGAGCTCTGAGCACAGGAGCCTGACGGCCTGGCTTTTGGGGGATGGCATGTGGGGAGGGATTTTCCTTTGTACCTCAAATGCCTCTGCCTTTCAGTTTCTGCTTAGCCAAACACCGTGGCCTCTTTCTTTTCCAGAGAAAGAAAAAACTAGTAATGGAGGGTTAAGTACTGGTCACAGGTGATTTTCATTTTAACCGTGGACCAATTAACTCCGAGGACCGAGTGCACATCATTAGTTTCATCAGCATTCAAATACACGAATGGCCCCTAATTCACGGTTTCTGGCCTGCGGTTTCAGCTACCGGTGGTCCGCCCTGGTCCAGAGGCAGCTGATTTTCCGATGCAGCGTCAGGAGCTCCGTGGTGGCCGAACACTACGCCCGTGCCTCCCGCCTCCTGTCATCCCCCCACACAGGCGTTCATCATCTGCATCAGCACAAGCAAGGTGAGTCCAGCCCAGTAACATTTTGAGAGAGACCACTTTCACACAGCTTTTATTACAGTATATTGTTTTGGTTTTTCTGCTTTGTTATTAGTTGTTCATCTCTTCCTGCGCCTCATTTGTAAGTGAAACTTTACCATAGGTGTGTACATACAGGAAAAACAGTATGTATAATATATGTATATATATTACTACCTGTGGTTTCAGGCATCCACTGGGGGTCTTGGAATGTATCCCTGTGGATAAGGGGGAGACTACTGCGAGTCTCATGAATAAATGAACACTTTTTCATACCTGGGAGCCTTAGAGAAGGATGGGCGAGGGGCTTCAGTCTATGGGATCTAAGAGAGACATGATCTTGGCAGGAGATGCAAAACACAGGAAATCAGCGAGGTTGAGACATGGTACTCCACAGCCAGTGACCCCAGGAACTGAAGCCCATCGGCCAGAGATGGTCTCTTCCTCCCATTTGCTGAGGGCAGGCTGGGGATTGGTGTGGGGCGGAGCGCTCCTTTAGGCCCCTTTACTGTAGCCTCTTTGAAAGGGCAATGCAGTTCGTTCCTGGAGAGCAGGGGCCGGGTGGCCTGGAGGAGAAGGGTACTGGGTGGAAGAGCGATGGAGCTGGAATGTTTTAATCAACTCTCTATTTTTTTCTATTTAAATTGGAGAGACATAAAGGAAAACCTTGTGGGTGATTCAGGAAGGTTTTTAACTACTGATGGTGAATATGGAGGGTAGTGCAGAGAAATATCCTAAGTGGAAAGGGCTGTAGGGTGGTGAGAAGGGACATCAACAAGGAGTAGTGGGATGGGGTGATTTCCCTGAAGATGGGGCCTGTGCTGGGCTGCAGGGTGACAAAGGTCTGGATGCGTGTGAACTACCCAAAGGCAGGGAGTGCAGGTCTGGTTCTTGGCTTGGGCACGTCCCGCCCCCTCGGATCTGGTGGTTTCCACCTGCTGAGGCTGCTCAGGGGCGCAGCTGCATGGGGACTGGGCCCTGCTCCTAGGGACTGGGTGGGGAGTCACTTGTCCTGTAGAAAGCAGCTACTAAAGTTGGCGGCTTCCTTCTGATTCCAACTCTCACAGATTTCTCCAGCGGAGAAAACTATAAAAACAGCTAACAAGTCTGTGAAGGATTGAGCTTTTCAGGTGAGCAATTTCAAAAATGGACGCGAAGCACAGAGAGGGAAGAGATGTTGCTAAAGGCAGTAATTAGCATTGGTTGTACACGGAGCAATTTCTGCCAAAGAGGGTGTCATTCTGCACATGACTGAGGTTTCACTGATTCTTGCTGAAAGATTGGCGCAGAGCGTATTTCATTTGTTATCGGTACTTTTCATTTTGGTCTTCCAAGAAACCAGTATGAGGGGCAAGCCGACACTCCCCAGGAGATCCTGCGGCTTCTTCCCTCCCAGGGAACCGGGTGGGAGGTGCTCAAGGTCGTACCAGGCCAGGGCGCCATCTGCTGCTAGGAAACACCCCCACTGAGCTGCCTGCATTAGAGCCATAGCAGTGCCGGCCCCACGCCCTCTTCCTTCACACCCACACTCTGATAATTTGCTGACGACCTGCAGATGGGGCAGATCCAGAAAGGACACAAATGGGCTTGCACTCCAGGAACATACAAAATAATGTTCTCTCAATATTAGTATCATATTTTCATATACACCCACTTTCAGGTAGTCTAATATATCTTTATTCAATCTTAAAAGATTTTTTTAGTCAATAATATTCTTTTATTACCCCATTAAAGACCATCTATTTTTAAATGGTTAGCTTGGTTTCCTTTAGACAAACATATTAGAATTCAAACACAGATCTTCCCAGTTCTATTGAACTCTAAGGAGAGGTGACTGGCTGAATTGATACAGAGTAAGAATAATACCTCTCCCGTCACACTCAGCATGGAGCTGAAAGGCAACATTTTGTTCATCTAGTTACATTTTTTAAAAGTATATGCAACTTAAAACTAACATGTTTCATAAGCATACAAACTATACCATTTTTAATAATACAACAGAAAGATCCTAAACATCTTTGCTTAATGCAAATAAAAGATCTTCAGATTATTATAACAGTCAAGATATTTTACATTGATTTGTGCTTTTAAAACTATTGCTAGCTGCTTCTGGGAAAAGCTAAAGAAACTATATTGTGGCAAAAAAGAGTTTTTGCACTTTTGATACAAATACATATGTCAACATCAGAAGAAATACAACATTTTTAAAAGTCATTTTTCAATTTCCCTGAAACAAAAAATCTTAATGAAATACATTCCTAAGGTAATTGCTAATTTAATGTTTTGACAAGTACATAAGTGGGCTATTTTTCTTGGTCACTAATGACAGCAAACACTAGACATTTAGGAATACATATATATATATATTTACATAGTACATATGTAAGAAAACATCTAAAGAAAATGGGACACTTTTCACATACATATTCAGAGTGTCTCAGAAATTCCCGTAGGGTCCACATTACTGGGCTCCCAGTTACTGCCAGTCCTTTAATGGAGTGTCTCACATACGTTCATAGAAAATCTAATGGTTGTGATGTGATCAACTCTTTAGAGAAATGCCTGTCATTCAACCAAATTCCCTTCTGGGTAAGCATAAATATCAATGTAACTTTTTCAGGGAATTCAACATTTAGTTACAGTAGCTACAGATCAACTATAGTGATCCCCTGTCTTTTCTAGTGGAGGTAATATCCAGAGAAAAATAAATCTTCCATGTGGAGTAGATAGATTGTGTCATGGGTATTAATTAATAATTGGATTGGGTAAACTTTATTTTTCTAAGCTCTAGTTGAAGAAGAGACAAAATGTATACTTATTTGCCAGATGAGAGGTCCACTTTGACCATCAGTTCTTCCCAGTGGTCCATCTAGATTATGGTAGAGCTCTAGTCCCATCCAGATAGGAAGACCACTTGGTCAAATCAGTTGGGGAAGACCCACATGCAGAGGGGACAGAATGTGTGTTATGACTGAAATGACTCACGTTCCTACAGTGTATCACATACCAGGGGACCCATGGGGAATCAAAACTAGGACAAGTCACAGTATTTTCTCTCTGATTAGCTCTACTGGGTTTCTGTCTGTGTCCTCCAGGCCATGCCAAATGTTTTCTATCCACATTATAATTTCAATCTTTGATTGGTGGGAGTTCTTTTAAGATCTTCCCACCTAGTTTTGTAGATAACAAGTTGCCAGTATGGAGTCTATACTAGCAAACCAGTAATTATAACTTTGAGTTGAGACTGGGATGAGAGGAGGTGAGGTTCCTGGTTTGGGGTCTGCGACGCTTCTGTAACCCCCTTTGACTCCCATGGCTTTCCATTTGCTGGGTGGGTGTGTAACACTTATCTCCGCTGCCCTTAGCATTGACAGAATGAAGCGTGCTTCATGCATTTTTCTTTGGAGGAGTATGATGAAGGCATTTGAAATCCAAGCTTAATATCTAAGGGATGTAATAATTGTCATTATGTAATTTCTAATGAAAGCATTGTTTGAAACAGATTGCAGAACAGAATAATTCGGATGCACTTACAGGAGGTGATGAGAAATAAGAGGGTCAATCTATGAAGGGCCTGAATGCCATCCTAAGGAGTTTGCTTTTTATTCTGTTGGACCCATTATTTTCTGAAATGTGTCCCACAGAATGCTGGTGCTAGAGGATATTAGTAGGTTGAGGGCAAGCTTAATTAAATTAAGTCCAAGTTTACTTTAGCATAGGCCTTATATATGCTAAGGTAAGGATTACAGATAAAATTTAAAAGGTTATATATTAAGAAAAGTCAGCTGCTCTTATTATTATTATTTCAAATTTCCTACCTAACAGAAGAGTTTGCTCTAGTTTGCTCTTCTAGACTGCAGCTGCTCAGCCTGTGGTTAGTACCCATTTCTCCCTTCCTCCCAAGCTGACTGCTCATTTTTAAGGACTACTTTCCCCAGCAAGTTCACCAACTACTCGGTTAGACCCTCGGTCCTCTTCTAAACCCATTTAGTCTTATAAAAAATCCACCAGGGCTTACTCTTTTTGTGGCCATTAAAATTCAAGTACATTAATGTTCCTAGCTGATTAATATTTGGATTCTTTTCTCTTGGGTTACCTCCTATTTTTGATGGTTCTGTTGATAGTCATTTAAAATACAGAGGCATTCTTGACATCTAGAATTTGGAAGGACCCAGAAAGGCAAACTGGAGTCAGGAATTACACACACTCTGCATAGCGACGTGTGGCGAGACAGGAAGCCCAAACCACTATGACTCTGCAAGAGCTGTCAGAAGGTTTGTTAGTTACCATGATGTGTTGGGGGCATTCCATCACTGTGGTGAGAATGCAAAAAAATAATAAATGGGCCACTCGCATGGTTCCCGTTACAAAGTTATTTTGATTGCATCTTTTATCCATGTTATAGCACTTTCCCCCACAATTGTTTGACTGCCTCTGTGGGATTCCTCAAAGAGGCCTGACTCCACTTTGCCCTTCTGTGTCCTTCCAAATTCTAGATGTCAAAAATCAGGCAAAGGTTTTTAACGACCTGCCCATAATGCCCCAAAATGCTCCCCTCTACTTCCGATAGGGGGACTCTGTGGTGATGCCAGCAAATAGGGAGAAGGAACAGGAAAGACCCTGTTTGTTCCACTATTAACGGTGGAGTCTCAATTTTCCAACTACTTCAGAGAGATCAGTAAATCCATAATCGAGCAAGTTAAGGCACACTGAACATTCACAAATAAGCTGTGCACATTTCAGCTCACTAATGACTTGTATTTCCCTTGGAGGACAGACCTGAAGAGAAAGATTTTTAAATAATAAAGATATTACATATATATATATATACAGTTGACCCTTGAACAATATGGGCATTAAGGTTACCAACCCTCATCATCAAAAATCCACATATAAATAACTTCTGACTCCCCCCAAATGTAACTATTAATAACCTACTGTTGACTGGAAGCCTTATCCGTAACATAAAGAGTCAATTAACACTCATTTGATATATTGTATGTATTATATACTGTATTCCTACAATAAAATTGCTAGAGAAAAGAAAATGTTATTAAGAAAGAGGAAATACATTTACAGGACTGTATTGTATTTATTGAAAAAAGTCTGCGTATAAGTGGACTGCACTGCACACTTCACGCCTCTGTTGTTCAAGGGTCACCTGTGCATCCAAACGCAGAAGTTAGATTTAAGAATGCTTTTCATATGAATATATCAAAGAGAGATTATCAACCACAGAGTGAACTCTTAACACACAAGATAACGTCCAGATGTATAGAATTCTGTGCTCAGCAGATGAAGAGTGAGAGATTGCTATAATGAGTGGTTTTCTATTTACAGCCCCATCAAAATTATGTGAAAATATTTCTTTCTCAAGAACTGTTCTGGAGAATTATTTTACACAAAGTGGGTTGGGGTGTGTGTGTGTGTGTGTGTGAATTATTTTACACAAAGTGGGTTGGGGGGTGTGTGCGTGTGTGTGCACGTGTGTGCTCATACCAATCAGGTCAAAGCTTTTCCGGTGTGATCCTATAAACTGAGTTCCAAGTAGGTGGTAGGCTGCCGCCAGAAAGACAAGGCTTCAAACAGATTTCTAGCAGCAAGGCTGGGATTAAAAATACATGTGCTAACAGGTTTCCAAGAGAGGAAAAATCCACTCGTTATAAAAAGGCCATCAAGTCTTAATTGTAAGAACTTCTCCAACTCCAACAATCTTTTCTTTCCACGAAGTAAACCACTTAGAGTCATGGCTTAATGTCCTCATTTAAGAAATGGAAGACACTAGATTAATTTTTAATTTATATTCCCACTTATATGTCTGTTCTCATTGTCCCTCTAATGCAACCTGTGAACAACGCTAATCTCACTTCCACAAGACAACTTCAGCAGCCAGAGGGGTGATGAGGCAGTCTTATTGTGAAGCCAGAAGGAGCTAAAACATCAATAATTTTCAGATAATTGTTAAAATTATCCTTTAAGTTTCTTTGAAAGTAGCATCATTATTTTAAGTTAGAACATAATCACTGAAGGGAAAAATAACCCTAAGACAAATAAAATCTTTGACTATTTTTGTTCATTTTATGGGAAGCAAAACAAGAATTGGGTTTTCATCTGAGAGTACAGCAGTCCCTAAAGTAAAAAACGGTTTGCTAAATGTCAATTCTCTCCTTATTAAGGAGCTACTTGAGGCCATATTCCTGGGTCGACTTACTCTGCCTCTTAGCTCTCTGCTCCTGTCCTGATTACATCAGTGTCTCTGTATCCATGACACAGGTTTAAACAGACCCATGGTTAAATCTAAATAGATGCAGTGGCCCTACAGTGCTCAACCTATTCATTTGTCTACAATGTGGCAGAAATTCAGTTAATAGGACTTGATTCTGCCTGAATCCCTAATATAAATAATAAAATGCGGCCACTTTCCATAAGATAAATGGCCATATATTATTTTTTTTAATCCAAAAACAGGGTCTCCACCAAAGTCAAATATCTTGCACCTAAAGAATACATGTATATCGAGAGCCAAAATAAAGTGGTGCTTTAATCAGATCCCCGTTTCCTAAATATCCCTTCAGTTCATAAGAGAAGTATCATTCTAGATGAAAATGCCTCATTATCATGGATCTTCACTAAGTACTCCTGCTTCTAATAAGGTTGGAAAACTACCACCTGGGTGCTTGGACCAACTTCTAGTACCCACTCTCCACATGCTAACAGTGCCTTTCTAAACCTTCTGAGCTACTTTGAATGCCTTGTCAGTTTACTTATTTTGAAGCAAATTTGCTTGGCATTTAGAAAAGTCTTTGTAACACTTGTCTCTCTCTACCATCTCTTACTTTTCTGAAGATTTTAAGTAGAAGCAAGACCTTGGCAACAAAATAATTCATCTCCTGCTTCATTGTACATCAGTGCAATGGGACAGGTTTTTATCTGTTACCTGGCACACAAATCTAAATTATAACCTGAGAAGCAGGAATTACTGCCTTACTTTATAAAAATGCTGTTTTTAGAAGGTTTACTTAAAAAGAGAATCTTTTAAAATTAGTATATAATACTGAAAAACAATATACGTGTGTTCTGACAATAATTTCACCTTCCAGTGGAAAACAATTCAAACCCTGTTGAAGTTCATTTTATAGTGCTTCTTCAGATCTCTCACATTAACATTTAACCACAAATACCGTTTTCAAATGCTTGACGTGACAGGCTTCGTGCATATCCAAAGATTTAAAAAAAATGATCAACACATAGTCTCTACAGACCAAAGCATAAATAGACAAAAAAATAACAAAATGGGATGCAAATTCAGGCCACCACACCAAACCCTGTGAAAAGAACGTGGTTGCTAAAATGACCCAAAATCAGTCACAGTTTTCCTTTTTCTCTGCAATGATACACCAGTTGCCATGATCATTGCCAGAGCTCAGAATCTGGAGCTCTGACACATTGTCCTTCAGTAAGCCACAGAGCTCACCTTCTCTGAACACGTGGTAATAGCGCATAAAGGCTCTGGAATCCAAAACATTGGAATGCTTTTCTTCGACAGAAATTGTGGCATCTGGGTTGGACTCTGTGGAGTCCACGGAAGAAATCCTTCTCAGTGTTTTACTAGCAGAAGCGTCACCTTCTTCTAAGTTACCTACATCCTCACAATTTTCACTAGTATTGGCGTCGTCCAGAAAGTTCCCATCCTCGTTTCTCCCAACTTCTCCTTGAGGGTCTCCATTTCGATGTTTCTTTCTGGCTGGTGCTCTCAGCCACCCCAGATGTTTTTGAGACGTTTCCACGAACACCTCCTCATCTAAATTTTGCTCTCTTGTGGAAAATGGCTCTTGTTGGTCCAAATCTGAACTAGAGTGTCTGGAAGGTTGCACTGATATAGTGCTATGGGCCCAAACTTCGGTGTTTTTCAAGGGTGTCCCTCTTTCAGTTGGCTTCCTCAGCGTCGCTTCATCCAAAGACCGGGAGGAAAACCAGGAGCGAAAAGATTTTCCTAAAGCATTATAGAAGCCGTTCTCTTCCTCTCCTTTGGAAAGATTTGCACAGCAGCTTCCAGCCGTACCTGTCTCATCGTCCATGCTGTGGGACCGCCTTGAATCACATCGCCCTTTAAAACAAACAGAACTACAGACGGAGCAAGGAGGATGGCAGGGGTGGCTTCTTGCTGAATGTCCGCACTGCTGCTTTCTGCCAGGCTGGCTGCCTTCCGAGACGTGCTGGGAACACAAGGCCTTGTTCCACGGGACAAGCACGTCTTGCTTCTCAAAGCGCCGGTTCTTTTGCTCCATGGCCCAAACATAAATCATCAGCTGCCCTCCAGGGACTAAGACCCGGGCCATTTCCTTTATTGCTCTGACTCTTCTTTGTTTTGTAGAAAAATGATGTATGACTGCAAAAGAAGAAACTAGATCTTAGTGTGTCTATACATACATAAACCTTCACATTTATACACTGGTATTTCCCACCTAACCATGATACAATTTTGACATGTCATAAAACCTGATTTCCTAAATATAAAAGGAAATCCTAAACACAGGATTACCTATGTTTTATGTCGTAAAACCTAAACGTAGCAGGGCAGATGGTAGAAACATGACAGGCCTGGCTTTAGGAGAGACACAAGTTTTAGCTTTGGCTCCTCAATGTATTAAGACAACTGATCTTGGGCAATTATTTAACTTCTCTGGATTTTTTTAAAGTTTCTTAATCTATAATAAGATGCCTGAATTAAATAATGTGTAAGGTCTCTTCCAGATTCCAAAATCCTGTGAATTTTGTTAAGCAGAAGGGAGCTCTAATTAGGTAATTCTATGAAAGAATTCATTGCTTTAATGTATGATTGGTGCTTCTAACCACTCACAGATTAACATCATTCATCAGTGTTAATCAAATGAATGAAGCAAATACAAGTGAAAAAAAATGTTAGCTTTTATGTTTGGACAATGCAAAGATAAGCCAGTCAGCACAAGTCAAAATGATTGCTTGTAACTTTTAATAATGATGTTTATAAAGTATAGAATGTTTGTGTTCATTTTTAAAAAATTAAGTCACAGGTCATCATTTTTAGTCCCAATTCCTGCCAACTTAAAGTGACAGTCAATCAGGGCTGCCTTTATCTAGTCTGAAGCATCTTATTAGGCATATTTTTATCCAAGAAGATATAGAAAGTGCTGGTGTGTTCACTCCTAGGAGAGTTTAATTACAGTACTGTGTCAAGGGAAAATATCAAATTATTTTTCTGCACAGGCTGACCACATGTCTTGGGCAGCAAATGAGTCCCAAGGACAGTCTGAATGCTCTCCTCCAGAAATGAGTAGTAGGGGAAGCCATCCCTGTGCCCATCACCAAAAGCCAACTCTCGGCAGTAGTTTCGGGCAAATAAAGTTCTGTCCTTTAGCTGCCACAGAGAGACAGTAAATATCTGACATGAGATCATTGCACAGATAAAGCTGCCACAGGGACATCCTTCGACAGGCAGACTTTGTATTGTCACCAGTCAGGTTTTCGTTCCCAACAGCAGTGTACAAACCCTGGCATCTTTTGCTCTGCCACGCGGCAATTAAGAAGCTAGAAGTGTGAGGTTAAAATACGTTTGAAGAGCAGGACACCAGTGTGTCCCGGCGCTCTCGGTCACCAGCCTTGTGATCTTCGACCCATCACTTTACTTCATTGGACCTTAGCATGGTCCCCTCAATCCTGCCCGCTTAATAACAGCACAGGGGTCAGGACAATGCTAAGTTCATATCCATGACTACTTGTGGCCATTAACATCCCCTTAACTTGCACCTAATTCACTCTAGAACCTCCATGGGTGTACTTTCTCAAAACGGTCGATCTTGTTATCTGCAGATTATTTGTAAAACTGCCTACTTGCTAAAACTTGTTCATAACCCCCTCCCCCCAAATCAGTACTTTTGGTATTTCTGGGGTCATTCATTGACATGCACATGGTGGCAGAAAACTCTCAGTGCGCAGGCGCCCGGCTCAGGTGGAACCAGGCGACGCCCTGCACTCTTGTTTCCGCTCCCTTCCTGCTAATGAGTGTCCTTTCCATGGTTTGCTGAGTGACACGTGTTTTGCATGTTTGTGCCGTTGGTTGGTGACCTCACTGTTTAAAATGGTGAATGAACCTGGGACAGGACAGAAGCCCTGTCCCAGGTTCCTGGGCATGAGAAGGTAGATATACCTTATGAGAAAATACATGTGTTCAACAAGCTGTGTTCATGCCTTACAGCACTGGTAACAGAAGTTGAAAATGAACTAAATTGCCTTTAAATAGAAGGACACGTAAAACAAGGCCATGTCTTAGTTGACAAAAACATAGGGACCAGAGGCTTACAGGAACCTGATTCTGTATTTCTCCTGGGAGCAATGGTTTAGTATTCACTAAGTAAGTGTGCAAGAGACTTCACAGACTATAATTACGGTGAAAAATGAGAGTTCACTACATTCATTTGAGGGGCCTTAAAAGAAAAAAAAACACCATTAAAAGAGGACTATTTCAATACAATAGTCTCTTTCAAGCAGATCCATGGATTGTCAACATTACAGGATTCTGGGCTGCAAAGTTCTAATTTTTAAGGAAGAAAGTCTATATGTATTCATTCTTAAATATTTATTATGTGTTAATTCATTTTAATACCATAATTTCAACAAATATTTCAAAGGAAATACTTGAATCTTTTCTATTATGTTTTATATTTATATTTTACATGTAACACTAAGTAACCTGTAGGCCAAATGTTTTTGAAAAAGTTTACAAATTAAGATTTCTTCGTTACATTAAAAATGTATTATACATGCATATACATATAGGTTTTATTAAGAGACATCGTAAATGCAACCAAAATGGGACATGAAGATATATTTATGTGAATTATCAATGTAGGAAACTATGTTGAATTTTTAAAGGATAAAAAAAATCCCCTTTGTTTAAAAATTATAATCACAACCTAAAGGCAAAAATATTAATATATATATCCTATAGCAATGTGCTCCTGCTGGAAGCCCCCAAATCAGGTAGCCTGAATTCAATTACTGGATTCTAGAATCAGATGGGAAGTTATACAAGATCATCTTTAAAGTCCTATCATACCAAATACATCGTATCAATGTGATATATTGTTATTTAACTTTCCAACTGTGCATGCCTCATGTCTCTAACTATATGCATTCAGAATCCATGGGTTTAGCATAAAGCAGGGCTTTTCAACCTCAGCACTGCTGACATTTTGGGCTACACAATTCTTTGTTGTGGGGGGGCCCGCCCACTAGGTGGTGGGAGGGTGTATATACTCATACCCAGTTCTGACAACCCAAACTGTCTCCAGACATTGACAGATGTCCCCTGGGCATGGAGGGGGCAATAGAGCCTCCAGGTGAGAGCCACTGGCATAAAGTAAATAGTTGATGGACTTTTTAAAAAAATATATTGCTAAATTTTCATAGAATTTTTGTTAGACTACTCTAAAGTAAGTCAAAAGAGTGTTTCTTTTTCCAATCTGTTGGTAAAACATAAGGAATGTATAATTAAGTATGATGCTTACCTCTCACATTATTATTAAAAGACAAAAGCAAAAAAATATATCTCTTCATGTTAAGATAAGCAAGAAGTCCCAACATACAGACTTCTAAACAGGGAAGTAGATACAGACAGACAAAAGAGAGAGAGTCTAGTGAAATTTCTCATAATGTAGTTCTAAATGTGAAACCTAGCCAAAAATGACCACATCACATTAATTTATAGTTACAGTTCTTAAAAACATATGCTATGTTTACACTTCAGGAAGTATTTTTAATTAGAAGATGGTGACCAGGTATTTTCTGTTTCCTTTGCAAGGCAGGAATGAGACTTAAGACTGACAGCAGAGAGGAACTTAGCCACGTACACATGGAGTATTTCCCAGAAGTAGGGAAGCAGGTCAGCACCCCCATGCCCGTAACAGTGGCCCAGTGACACAATCTGGATGTAGGTGGCCTTGCAGACCCTAAAACTAATGTAAACAAAAGAGGAGCAAAGAATACACTTCTCTGACCTCTGACTTCCTCTGCCTCTGGTGCAGTGGCCGAACCACAACCTTTGTTTCCACTAAAGATTCAAAGCAGTGTATAGCATCGCTTGGTTCAGCATGAATCCCCCCTCTTAATGTTTATAACCAAAATGGACTTAACAGTTTCAACAGCAAAGCAGTAGAGCTGTCGCTGAACAGGTTTCCATGGCAACCATCTCCTGCCAGTCCTACTGAGTTCCGAGGTTATGGCGCCCAGCCCTGCATCCCCTCACTAGGCAAAGGTACCATCCCCATCTCTTGTTGAATACACTGAATTCTCGTCTCTGCTCTCTCAGGAGAAAGCAAAGTCTTATTCTGTATTTTTATCTAGCAGCCAGTTTATGTAGGATCACCTTGATTTGATAAAGCTTATAATATTCAAATAGATTAATTTTTTAAGCATATTGGAGCAAATAATTTGCTTTGCAAAAGAACTTGCCACAGGCTTCCCTAGCATATTTAAATATGACTAACATACTAGGTTTCAGGGATACATACATGTACTGAGTAAAATGAGTATCTGTGTATGTTTCAGGCATGGAATTTTGCTGGTTTTTTTTTTTTTCATTTTTGGCATGTGTTTCTATGGGCACACTTGTTGGGAGACTATAAGGAACATATTCCCTAGACTCATGGACAATCTCTGGCAGTGAGACAGCAGAGTGGCATTTTAAAAACAGTGCAATCTGGGACCAGGTGGGGCCGTGTTCCCCAGTGATGTGTGTACCACTGAGTGGCAGACTGGGTGACACATCCTTCCAGGTGACATTCGGTGCGTGAGTCCTGCCATATGCTGCTAATAAACAGCACACCGTGGCCTAAAAGCGGTAACGTGACTTTTAAAGATCTCCTTGGTGGTGGAAGACTCTGGCTTCCTTTCAATTTAACAAAGTACTATTTTCAGTAAGTCTAATTCCTCTAATACTTTCTTAGTCAAAAGTAACAAAGTAGAATGAATCCTCAAAAAGAATATAATAGCAGTTTGAAGGTTTAACTAGTTAAAACAGTCATAAGTACCACCATTAAGTACATTTGAGATGAGTCTAATAGTTCAGTTGAAGTGTTTTTTAAAAATCAGATAAAGCAAATCACATTGACTTGTGTTCAGTTGGGAGAATGGCCTCAACCATGTAAGGTTGCTCTTAAGGCAAAGAGTGAACATGTGACCAGGCTGCCTTACCTCCTATGGAGATGATGGCATCGAAGCCCTGGTCCCTAAAGGGGAGATTAAGGTTGTCACATACCATGACTTCACACCCTCTACTCCGGGCAATCTCTACCAGTGGCCCACAGTAGTCACAGCCCAGGGTATGTACCTGGCTGTTCACTTTAAGATACTTTCCAGTCCCACAACCTGTAAGAGAAAAAACCGTGTTACATGCTATCCTTAATGAAAAGTAGAAAATTATCAGTTGACTTACAACACGGAATAGAAATAATTTTACATTAGCCAACCAAGACAGACTACAACATGGTAAGAAGGTAGTCACAAAAACAAAATAAAAGCTTTCAGCACTTACATATTTCCATTTAGAATAGGAGAGGAAAAGGGAATGGGGAAAACGTAGTACTATTTCTTGAATATTCAATGAGGTAATCTCCATAGGGCTTAGCATGCCAGTACAACCAAGCCTGTCAGCTGACCCACGGCAGGGAACAACAGCACCCTGGTATCCCCGAGGCAGTGTCTGTCCTTTACAGAAGTGACCTTCACATGCGTATCTCCTATGTCTGCATGTTATGGCTTTTATTATTCCCGTGTTCTCTCTCCAGACATCCTTACCACTTGCTGGTTATGTAAAACAAACTACCACCAACAGCTTTTCAATGGGTATAAATAAAATAGTTTACACAATAAAACATACTTTAAATTTTTTAAAATTTGAATTTGAATGAAAGAAGGATTTCAACATCTTTTTATCCAGGAGGCAGTTGTCAATGACCTCGGTTGACCTAGTGTACACCTCTAAAAAAGCTATTTTTTTCTTATATAGGCCATTTTGACAGTCACTTTATGGTGTCAGAGAACCAAATAATTCAAGATTTACACAACCCAAAGATACAGCTCAATCGATCTCACTGATAGTATGAAAAAGAAAGGTAGGGACAGGAGGCATGAATGATTACCTTGAAAAACAAAGCCTTCTGTCTCGTACCAGTATTATATTCGAGCACAGACGACGACATATCATCTATTTCCTTTTTTAAGAAATATTTAAAGATATCCTTAGAGCTGATAAGTCATACCTGCTGGCATTAGCTCTAGATTTTTCTGCCTGAAAAAATATCTACCGCTATTCAAAGATGACTAGCTTGCTGCTTCTGAAACATGTCACAACACTCTTTAATAATCCCTCCTTAGGTGCTATTCAAAGTTATATAAGACACCAAAAGCATAATTAAGGTTCATCGAGACCGTAATGAGACAGTGGAGAGCAGGTGAATTAAAAATAAGATTTCCAGTGTTATTTCAACATAAATGATTGGGTCCTAGAAATATTTTAGGTCTCATAGTCACCGTACCTCAGAATGCTCATGAAGAAAAGTACCCGATATTTGCAGGCAATCGTGGGGAAAATATAATTCACAAAGTATTTTAAAACCGAAATCCTGAGCATCTAAAAATGGTTGTATTTTAAGAAGAAAATCATCTTGTAAATCCGTTTACTTTTTTTTTATTGGCTCAGGGGATACATTTAGAGAAATGAGAGGGAAAATTACTTCAAAGATACTACTAAAAACAGGTTCATAGACCGTTAGAGCTAGAGGGAAGCATTCGGAGAGCATCTGGTAATGATGAGGAAACTGAGGTCTTTTCAAATCTCAACATCTGAAGTGTTTCCAGGGGCGCCCAAAGATAGAGATTCCATATTTGTTTCAAATGGCATTCATTCAAGGATAGTAGTGGAACTCCCAAATGTAATGCAGTTATCCATTTCTAAGTGCATCCACTGAGATGCTAGGGAGGGGGAAATTTTATCCTAATGAGGAAATCAAGGGTATTGCAAGCCTGATCCCCCATTATCTCAAGTGTGCAAGAGGTAGATCCCAACATCTTTGATACTGCACCCAGCTCCCGTACACGGCAATTGTGCTCCTGTACAAAATCTCATTAAATGATCATCTTCCATAGTACTGAAAGGAGAGAACAGAGCATGTCCACATGCTTACATCCCCCTCTGGCATGCATTCTGCACCACACTAGAACTCAAGTAGAAAACCACTCATTGCCTCAGTGCAACAAAATGTCACTAAGTTAATCTGAATGTTCCCTCTGAAGCTTGCAGAAACAACAATATTTTTTAAATCCAGAGTTGTTGCTAAGATCTTTTCTGAAAGAGAATTCTCTCTTCCTATTGGAAAAAGAAGAATCCAGCCTATTATTTCCCATTTTATATATATTTTTTGAGGCCAGAGATGACAGAATATGTTTTATTCTGCAGGCAGAGTGCATGCCACATCGTCAGAGCTCAGTTTTAATTGACTCAGTGAAAGAATGGTACTTAGAGAATGACTGAGTAAATTAAACCTGAGCACAGAGACTTAGAATAAATACACTGAGAGTTCAGAGGCAAAGGGCATCATAAGTTAATTTGTATTAAGTAAACAAAAATAAAATTTTCAGTACTACTAGGACAGTTGTATCTGATGTCAGGTAAAAAGGTAACCTTGCTCAGAAAAAAATCTAACTCTTGTCCTTCCCTGCTTTCTAAACTAGTCCAAATCAAGATCTCAAACTACGGAACACCCTCCACGCACCTAATGGCCTTAACTTACTAGCCCATCTTAGGTAAAGGTATTGTCATAATTGCGCCAATCATGGTATCTCCTGAGAGTCCTTTACATTTCTGCTCTCTCTGAATCACCGAAGTTCTTTTCAGTTGGGCTGTACTTCCTGCTTGCTTCATTCCTGATACCTGCTCTGAAGACTTTGTTTCCACCAGGAACCTTCATCACCCACCCCAGCTTGATCAGGGTATCGGGTGGTGTGGTTCATAAAATTTTAGTCCACCGAAAGTTGCAGCGCTAAAATAGTGAATGGGCCTAGAAAACATCTGCATGGGCAATAGGAATCCAATTGCTTCTGGATGTTCATTTCCTATGCAAAGTTTTATTAGTCATTAATTCCAAGTTGCTAATCTAATAACCCATCAAATTAGCTGACATAAACATGATTTTAGCTAACTGGAAAACCTAAAAAGAAAAAATGTTTCCTTTTGGAGATAATCATATTGTCTTACTTTCTTTTCTTCTATTAATCCCTTTGGGCTTCTTTCTTTCCTTTTCATTTATGTCTTTTTAATTTACATTATATTTTAAAATATATCTTTCATGGTGTAATTAAAATATTGCTGTTCATTTATTGAATGGTAAAAGTAAGTAGCGCAAAATTCAAAAGATACAAAAATGGGTCAAAAAATTTACTAGATATAATTAGTGGTTTGCAGGGGTCTTTAAAGAATATTATTTGTACTATAATTTGTATCAGCAAAATATAGCAAACAACATATGAATCTCTTAATATGGTGCTCTTTACATACAGTTACACAGCTTTAATAGAGGCAGCTCTGTAAGTACAAAAATGGAATGATTGCCACAATATATTAAAAGAAACAAAAGCTAAGCATGTAACAGTTCGTATAACCCACCATCATAAGTGTAATTGAAAAAAGGAAATCCACCCATAGATACAAATATGCTTCTATTTACTGAACTGTCTCAAAAAGGTTATACAAGAGGCCAAGAGGGGTGTTGCCTCTAGTCTGAGGACCTGGTATCGGGCACTGGGTGGGGTGGTAATCTCCACCAAACGTCCTTTTGTCCTGAACCATGTAAGTGGCATGCCTGTCAACAAACATTTAAGCAGCCAGTACTCTCCTTTTTGGAATCATGTGTTCACCTCCTTTCATTATTCTTGTAAGTTGGTATAGGAAAGTAGCAGGTACACCTATACATGCACACACAGCATAAATATATAATATTGTCCTAAAGCTACTTATTGAATAGTTCCTTCTCCTCCCAACTGATTTTAAGATCCTGGTACTTTGCTCACATTATGGGTGGTAAGAGTTCCAAGTTCACTGTATCTTCTGAAACCAGATCTATCTTTTAAAAATTAATGTGTTACAGAGAAGACAAGTAGTGATTCTATAGCATCTTACTAGGCTCATGGACAGTGACTGTAATGGGGTATGTGTGGGGGACTTGATGATGGGGGGAGTCTAGTAAACATAATATTCCTCATGTAATTATAGGTTGAGGATACCAAAAAATAATAATAATAAATAAATAAATAAATAAAAAGAAAGAAAGAAATGAGAGACTTTGGTCCACACACAGGACAAAAAGAAATTCGTAGAAACTGTCCCTTTAAGTAAACTGATGCTTGAAGACCTAAAGAAAAGATGTACAAATAACCAAAGGAAACCATGGAAACAATGTCTGACCAAGTGGGGAATATAATGCAAACATAGAAATTACAAAAGAGGAACCAAATAGGAATTCTGTAGTTGAAAAACACACTAAACTGAAATGAAAATTCACTAGAGGGGTTTTAAGAGCATATTTGAGCAGACAAAAGAAAGACTCAGGATACTTGAAGATAGGTCAGTAGGCATTAGACAATATGAGGAGCAGAAAGAAAAAGGGAAAATGAACCAACATAAGCACAATGGGAGTTGCAAAAGAGAAGAGTAAGGGAAAGGGGCAGAGAGAATATTTGAAGAAATAAAGGCCGAAAACCTTCTAAATTTGACAAAAATTATGAATGTGCCCATACAAGAAGCTTAACAAACTCCAAGTAGGAAAACTTAAAGATCCACACCAAAACGTAAGAATCAAACTGCTGAAAATTAAATACAATGTGAGTCCTGACCCATATAAGGTTGCCTCTATGAGAACAACAGCTGATTTCTCATCTGAAATCATGGCAGCCAAACAGTAATGGAATGATACATCCAAAATGCTGAACAAGAGGCTGTCAACCAAGAATTCATCAACTGGCTAAGCTATCCTTCAAAATTTAAGAAAAAATAAATATTTTCAGATAAACAAAAATGGATAGAATTCAATATTAGACCCGCCCTGCAAGAATGCTGAAGAGACTCCTTCAGGTCAACAATGAAGGGATGCTAGACAGTAACTCAGATCCATACAAGAAATAAAGACAATGATAAATACACAAAAAAAAATTGATGTGACAGAGATATTTTTTAAAGACTCCCCATTTCTACAGGACATGCACTTCTTGCCCAAGTTCCATGCTGCATGCACCATGTTTAACAAGCCAAAAGCACTGGACACATATGTATTTCTTCTACCGATATTTAGAGTGAGTGTCAAATTAGATGGAATTTGTCATTACAGACTTAGGACCCTTATGGGCACGTTCTGCATGAAGTTGTTAGAAAGCAGTTTTAGGTGGGCATGCCTCAAGGGAGAATCCTACCATGTCTTAAACCTTAGGCTTAGATCTACTGGGTTGTGGTTTACCAGTTCTTGATTCAGAAAGATACTGAACCAAGGTTCTGCAGGCAAATCAGTGATTATGGGGCTATGACCTAATTAGAGATATGCTCTAATAATGCAACACCTATGAAATAATTAAGAAAAAGGCTCCATGAGATTAACAAAAGGTTATAGGACCTCTTCCATAATCCCACAGTTCTCACTCTTCTCTAGAAGGCATAGGAGCCACTCAAGGTGAGCCCCAAAACACTGCGTTTGCTAATGTGAATGTCTCTAAATTGAAAACGGTCAATTTCACATGCGGTCATTTCAATCACGACTTCATACTGAATGAATATCAGATCGATTTTGTTGAAGGATGTGCACAAAGTCTCTGAAAAAGACTGCTACTGTCGAAATGGAGATTCGAGTACGACTATGAGGTAAACAGCCTAGGTACTGGCATGCCAAGGACACAATTTCAGACTTTTGGTGGAAACAAAAATGCAAGGTGAATCTGAAAAGGAAAGGCACAATGGGACGGTATTTCAGACAACGTGGCAAAACCCTGGGTTACCTATGTCAGCGATGAGGCTGCCTGGCTTCTGCTCCTGGAGGAACTGGCGGACACGAGGCCAAGCTTTGCTCTGCAGGTCGCTGAAGTAAGGCGCGATGCTCGCATACACATCGTGCACGTGCTGCTTTTCCAGTTGGGCGGCTTCAGGGTCCATCCTGGGAAAACAGGGCCACCCCAAAAAATGCAGGTCGCCATATGCACCACAGACAGCCAAAGGAGGATGTAGATTTTTAAATCTGGAACCTCCCATTGCAGAGGGTGTGCAATGTTTTTACTCTCCGATAAGCCACAAAGAAACAAAACTCACTATAATGCCAGCATAGTTGCTGAAAGGCTAGCCAATGAATAAATGTTACCTGCAGATCTTCAGGAAATCGTGGTTTGGGAATGAGCTAGTCATTGTAATAAGTTCCTGCACAAGAGCAACTCCTGATTTTGAAAGCATATCCCAAAGCCTTATCGGATAAAATCATTTAAATAGATTTTTAAAGTTTGTAACATGTAGCTCACCACTCCAATCCAATCACAAAGCCCTATTGATTCTACTTTTTTAATGACTTTGAATGCCAACCATTTCTCTACATCCCTACTGATTCTGTTTTAGAAAAGGTACTCATTTCTTGCCTGAATTACTTTACCGGCCTGTAAAGAGGTTATTATTATTTTTTCTTGGCCTTTCTCTTCCTGTCCTTCAATTATTTTTCTAAAGCATAAATGTCCATTAGACTTCTTCAGAGGCACTTTATTGTCCAGTCAAATGCAGGCATCTTAGGAAAGCATATACTGCTGTTTCTGATCTGACCTCTACTTCCCTCTTGAAACCATTTCTCACCATCTTTCCCCAGGATCAGATGAGCCTGCAGTATGCACCCACCCATGGTTTCTCAGACTTGGCACATTCCCTCACGTCCAGGGGCCTGAGTAGGTGCTGTGCTTTACCTGGCTAACTGCTGTTCATCCTTGGGAGATGCATCACCTCCTCCAGAAAGCCTCTCTGCCCTTCCTTGCCGGAGACAGGCAATCAGAAAGGAGTGGGAAAATACAAGCACAGATCTTACAGGCTCTGCTGTCATGGGTTTAATCTTTTCATTATTCTCTTGTGGCATGTGAGTGCAGAACATCCCAGAGAAGTGGCCAGAGGCTCACAATGTGGCTTTTTACCAATCAATATGAAAGTATTTTCAATCACCGATGAATCCATTTGACCCTACCGGGGCACAGCAGCCACTTCAGCCCCACCCCTCATCCACTTGGGGCATCCCGTGCATACCTCTGCAGGTTATGAAGGGCTGTTATTATCTATTAGATCTTCTCTTCAGCACTAGCTAGAAGATCCCTAGGGAACAAGGGCTTGTCTTATTTCATGCTGAATCCCCAGTCATCAGCATGCAGCAGATCATCAGTAAGTGAACAAATAAACCAACGACCAGAATGGAATCGAAATCTGCGTACAGAGGGTGGCATTGGCTTCGGCAGAAGAGAGAGTAACCCCAGAGAGTGTGGGAAGAGAGGAGCCTACACCCACAGGCTGCAGGGAGTGAGGCAAGAGAAGGTACTGTCTCTGGACAGCCTCGGGGTCCCTCACCTGACCCCCAGCCCCAGCTCACGCCTTGGGTAGGAGGAAGCACTTGGGTAAGATGGTGTCTGATTAGTTTCTCCACTACAGAACCCCTTCCCTCCCTACTCCTCTTTGTATTTAATATCTCCTGGAGAGATGCTTTGAGACCATGTGAATATCCTATTTCTCATACTCTCACCCACCAATTTTAGCGTCCTATCTGCTGATTCTTGCCTCCAACAGTTATTACTACAGTTACCACCAAATGATGATATTCTTATTCCATCTTTCCTTCTGTGTTGCAAGGAAGAGCTTATCAGGGTGTATTCTTAAGAAAACAAACTAGCAGTAAGCCACCCTTAATTACTCTGGACCTGCCTACAGCCCCTGCAAAAAAATCTGGCAGACTCCTAAGAGTACAAATCTCATTTGTGAGGTCTGACAAAACTTCCACCCAAATTGCAACAGCTTATATTGCACCCTCAGCTAGAATTTACAAAGTAAACATATGGCTGGCTATAACTGCCTACACATGAGAAGAGCCCAAACACTCAGTGTTTTTCTTTTTAATCAAAATCTTAGTAGACTTAAGTCTGTTTAAAATTTTTCTCCTCAAGGAATCAATCAGGCAATGCAATTTTGAGAACTCTAGAGCAAATACATTTTATTTTATTGCTCTTGTAAATGTTAAGTGGCAATCAACATAAACTCCTTCCCTTCCATCTGGCTCCAACTACAAGTTCAGAAATTGTAGTATCTGAACAGCAGCCCTTAGAGATCTTCCTCTAAGTACCCCCAAACTGGCCTCCGCCATAAACAAGTAACTTCAAAGAGCTATTTTAAATTGTGTGAATGACAACAAATCCATTTTGTTTTATTATAATTTGCAGTTTAGTTTATATACAGCAGAAAAAGTAGCTGACCATGAAACTGATTTGTAGAGCTGGGGCTACCCAATAGGACATAGCTGACTCTATGTAGATATAAATTTCTTGCAATGTTTTTCATACGAATTTTACACATATAAACAAATTGTATCAGGTGTGATGGAAAGTGATTTTAAGTTGGTGGGTAGGTTGTGGGGAGGCAACATAATTGGACTTACAGTTTTAAAAGATCACTCCAGATGTACCTAACTCTTAAGTAGACTAACTATTGTTTTTTTTTTTTAGGAGAGGCAGAGGCTTTTATTTAGAGATAAAGCAAAAGGGCAGAGCTTCTCCAGGAGGGGACAAGAGAGCCCCTGGGTGGTGCTTGTCTAGGGGCTTTATAGGCAGTTGTGAGACAAAGGGCTAGGAATGCACACCTGCTAAGTGGTCCCAAAATGTATCTTTGAAAAGACACTAAATTTCTTATTAGTCTTCCTGGTTATTTACAAGAATTTTACTGCTCTGATTTCCTCCCAGGATAGCAGCTTCCTGGTCTGGGAGCATATCACTCAAGACTGCCTGCTTTGCTCCCAAGGTGGGCTGAGTTATTGTCTGTTTGTTAAGAAACTTACTTTTTAACTAATTGGGTTTTAAGAGGCAATTTTATTTTCAAGATGGAATCCTTCCTGTTTTTACTAGTTGTTTTGGGCCTGCTTGCTACATTGCCCAAGTTGCAAATCATTTGTTTAGGGCTTGGAGGAAGAAAAGTAGCACCTGACTCACTATTGTTTTTATTTGTCCAACCAAGTTCACTATCCCTCTTCTTCTGAAAATTTGTATCTGGTCCTCCCTGGATGAGTATGTGACCCAGGCATGGCCAATCATGGTGTCCCGTATCCTTGGACACAATCATTGGCTCATGGGTGGGCAGGTAACATAAGGTGGGCCAATCAGAGTCCTTCCTCAGGATATCTCAGTATGGAACTAAAGAGCTGGTGGCCTTGCCTGTGGTATCACAGAGCTAGAAAGATGTAAAGGTCAGGCTGCCAGTGGCCATCTTCCCTTCACATGGAAAGGACCTGTTTTTAGGTAGAAGAGTATGAAGTCAGGCAAAGTAAACAGGTGAGAGACAAATACAGAGGGAAAAAGAATCAATGCAGCATAAAATCCTGGTTCCAGCCCCAGAGACCTTGATGCTGACAGTATTGTGGGTACTTCCAACCATACCCAACTTGGACTGTCAGAAATTCCCCTTTTTACTTAAGCTTGCTCTGTTTGACTTTACCACCACAAGGGTCCTCCCTAATTCAGCATCACTTCTTACACCAGGTGTTTTGTTTATGTCCAGCCTTTATTCCTTGGCAAATGGGAGGAGAGGAAGTGATAGGAAATCAACAGGGGAGGTCAGTTGCTCGGTATGTTTCCCATGGAGAGGAAGCAGGGGAAGGTCATAGCAATTCCTTTGTTAGCAACAGGCTTGCCATGAAAATGGCACTCATGTTTGATTTTCCTGAACTGGATGTGTGATCAGGATAACATTTTTCATCCCAACTTGATTCTAGCAAAGCCATGTGAGTTGCTTGGACCATGAAGTGTGATCAGAAAATATGTGGGTTACCTCTGAACAGAAGCTTTATGACAGCCCCTTCCCATATTTCTGCAGTCAGGGAAGCATCTGCCTAGGTCCTTGAGTGACTGCTCTTGATGGATAGATGAGTTGGGTGTTTTAAGCCAAAAAAGGGTTCTAAACAGCTCATCATAAGAAATGTTGACTACCTAGATCATGAAAAAGTAAAAGGAATGATCATATTCTATTAGAATATAACTTCTTACTGTGTGAGTTTGTCCTATTTTTTTCTTCATAAACAAGAATATTTTTCTCCGTACTGTAGATATATTATAACAACATTGGGAGAATCAATACAGTTCTGCATCCCACTTTTATAAAAGATAATTTAATGTCATAAGCCAAGAAGCAACTTTTGCCCGTGGTCTTCTCCAAGCTTCTCAAATAAATATAATTGCCTTACTCCCTAAATTTCACAGGGCTTGAAATGTTTTATATTCTCTCAAAGTATTATAGTGACTTAAGTACTCTTGGTAGATTCTGAATTTCTAAAGAAGAAACATTTCATATGCATCTCAGCTTATATATAATAGGTCTGACCATGTTCAATGAATAAATGAAAAATGAAACTCTAATCAATTGAACAACAGTTTTTATGTTTAATATTTTTTACTAATTTAGGAATTGACATAAAACAAACTGCACATATTTAAAGTGTGCAATGTGATAAGTTTTGATACATGTATGTACCTGGGAAAACCATGAAAACACTTAAGGTAATGAACATACTCATCACCACAAAGTTTCCTTGAGCCCCTCTGTAAGCCATTCCATACAACTTTAAGTCTTTCTTAATGCCATTGTTCTGGAAATGGTTATACAAGTGTCTCATTTGGTGAAAATTCATCTAACTGTATACATACATGTATTTTTCTCTGTATATTTCAATTAAAAAATCCATTTTGCTTTCAGACAATTGTCTGGCTATTTACTTTAAACCACTTAAAAATTCAGAGCTAGGGAGGCAGGGAAAAAGATGGTGGTATGAGAAGTGAGGCAGAAACCTCCTCCCAAAACTACATATAACACAAAAATACAGCAAACACAACTAACCCTGAAAGAGTGACCTAAAGATTGCAACAGACTGCCTACATCTGGGGA